TTCTTCAAGCACGTGTAATGAGATTATTTGTGAGACGTCTCAAAGATAGCCTCATTACGAATGGGGACGAAGAGGGTGGAGAGATCACCCACGCCGGCAGCAGCAGCAGCAGCACCAGCATGGCGTGCGGAAGGGGAGATGTGTGTGAAGGATCTGTTGAGAATTCTCAAAAAACAGATTCGGGATGATAGCGATACGTCAAAGGTAAAAGTTGGGTTTGGAGATGTCTCAAAACCCAACTTTTATCACGCGGATGATAAGCGTATGCCAAAGCACGAGAGGGGGAAGAGCACGAGAGGGGGAAGAGCATGAGACGACTCCAACAGCAGGCGAGAGCAGAGAGGCACGTGACTGTGTATCTGATAGGAAGCATTGCGAGCTCACTGGAAGCATTGCGAGCTCACTGGAAGCATTGCGAGCTCACTGGAAGCATTGCGAGCTCACTGGAAGCATTGCGAGCTCACTGGAAGCATTGCGAGCTCACTGGAAGCATTGCGAGCTCACTGGAAGCATTGCGAGCTCACTGGAAGCATTGCGAGCTCACTGGAAGCATTGCGAGCTCACTGGAAGCATTGCAAGCTCACTGGAAGCATTGCGAGCTCACTGGAAGCATTGCGAGCTCACTGGAAGCATTGCGAGCTCACTGGAAGCATTGCGAGCTCACTGGAAGCATTGCGAGCTCACTGGAAGCATTGCGAGCTCACTGGAAGCATTGCGAGCTCACTGGAAGCATTGCGAGCTCACTGGAAGCATTGCAAGCTCACTGGAAGCATTGCGAGCTCACTGGAAGCATTGCGAGCTCACTGGAAGCATTGCGAGCTCACTGGAAGCATTGCGAGCTCACTGGAAGCATTGCAAGCTCACTGGAAGCATTGCGAGCTCACTGGAAGCGTTGCGAGCTCACTGGAAGCATTGCGAGCTCACTGGAAGCATTGCGAGCTCACTGGAAGCATTGCGAGCTCACTGGAAGCATTGCGAGCTCACTGGAAGCATTGCAAGCTCACTGGAAGCATTGCGAGCTCACTGGAAGCGTTGCGAGCTCACTGGAAGCGTTGCGAGCTCACTGGAAGCATTGCGAGCTCACTGGAAGCATTGCGAGCTCACTGGAAGCATTGCAAGCTCACTGGAAGCATTGCGAGCTCACTGGAAGCGTTGCGAGCTCACTGGAAGCATTGCGAGCTCACTGGAAGCATTGCGAGCTCACTGGAAGCATTGCGAGCTCACTGGAAGCATTGCGAGCTCACTGGAAGCATTGCAAGCTCACTGGAAGCATTGCGAGCTCACTGGAAGCATTGCAAGCTCACTGGAAGCATTGCGAGCTCACTGGAAGCGTTGCGAGCTCACTGGAAGCGTTGCGAGCTCACTGGAAGCATTGCGAGCTCACTGGAAGCATTGCGAGCTCACTGGAAGCATTGCAAGCTCACTGGAAGCATTGCGAGCTCACTGGAAGCGTTGCGAGCTCACTGGAAGCATTGCGAGCTCACTGGAAGCATTGCGAGCTCACTGGAAGCATTGCGAGCTCACTGGAAGCATTGCGAGCTCACTGGAAGCATTGCGAGCTCACTGGAAGCATTGCGAGCTCACTGGAAGCATTGCGAGCTCACTGGAAGCATTGCAAGCTCACTGGAAGCATTGCGAGCTCACTGGAAGCGTTGCGAGCTCACTGGAAGCGTTGCGAGCTCACTGGAAGCATTGCGAGCTCACTGGAAGCATTGCGAGCTCACTGGAAGCATTGCAAGCTCACTGGAAGCATTGCGAGCTCACTGGAAGCGTTGCGAGCTCACTGGAAGCATTGCGAGCTCACTGGAAGCATTGCGAGCTCACTGGAAGCATTGCGAGCTCACTGGAAGCATTGCGAGCTCACTGGAAGCATTGCAAGCTCACTGGAAGCATTGCGAGCTCACTGGAAGCATTGCAAGCTCACTGGAAGCATTGCGAGCTCACTGGAAGCGTTGCGAGCTCACTGGAAGCGTTGCGAGCTCACTGGAAGCATTGCGAGCTCACTGGAAGCATTGCGAGCTCACTGGAAGCATTGCAAGCTCACTGGAAGCATTGCGAGCTCACTGGAAGCGTTGCGAGCTCACTGGAAGCATTGCGAGCTCACTGGAAGCATTGCGAGCTCACTGGAAGCATTGCGAGCTCACTGGAAGCATTGCGAGCTCACTGGAAGCATTGCGAGCTCACTGGAAGCATTGCGAGCTCACTGGAAGCATTGCGAGCTCACTGGAAGCATTGCGAGCTCACTGGAAGCATTGCGAGCTCACTGGAAGCATTGCAAGCTCACTGGAAGCATTGCGAGCTCACTGGAAGCATTGCGAGCTCACTGGAAGCATTGCGAGCTCACTGGAAGGGTGCTCACCGGATGGGGAAGAGGATGGCATAGCGGAAGAGCACACCGAAGCACCAGAGGGGGAAGAGGTAGAGGTTCCAGTTCCATGGCTCAGGCTCGTTTGACTTGAAACAGCGCCAAAAGGAATCCTGTGGGACCGGTAGGAAGAAGACAGAGGAAAAGGAGGGAGGGAAAAGGGAGGGGAGCGAGGAAAGGGAGGAAGACGTAGAGGTTCTAGTTCCATGGCTCAGGCTCGTCTGACTTGAAGCAGCGCCAAAAGGAGTCCTGCGCAATTGGAGGGGGAAGAAAGAGTGGGAGAGGGGGTGGGTGGGAGGAGAGGGGAGTGAGGGGAGGAAGGGAGGGGAGGGGAGTGAGGGGAGGAAGGGAGGGGAGGGTGGAAAGAGGTAGAGGTTCGAGTATGGCACTCGACTTGCTGCCTGCAACAGCAGAGCAAACAGACGGCTTGCGCGAGTGCGGGTGTGCAGTGAGTGCGTCGAAGTAGAGATTCAAACAGACGGCTTGCGCGAGTGCGGGTGTGCAGTGAGTGCGCGGAAGTAGAGATTCAACCAAACGGCTTGTTGCCGATTTTTTACATCCGCATGGCACTCGACTTGCTGCCTGCAATAGCAGAATAACCTGGTACTGTTTCTCTCTCGCACTCACATCGACTATGGCCCCTGCTGCTTCGTTCAGAGGTGCTGAGATGTCCAGAATCTCGTTCCTGAAGACAAGCACAGGCGGACCAGAAGGGTAATAAGAGCAACAGGCACAACACGTGTGTATTTTGAGAGAAAAGCTTTGTGGCTCACGACTTAGTTTGCTGCAGCGGTGGCAGGAGGGGCAGTGCGAGGCGGTGGTTTCCACCAGGTCTGGCGTGGTGTGGAGTGGTGTGGCGTGGTTCTAACTTCTAAGTCGGCTCAAAACACACGCAGGGAGCGAGAGAAGGGGAGGGGCATCGCAGCAGCTTGCTGCGGCGGTTGACGGAGGGTCAGAGCGAGGCAGTGGTTTCCACCAGGCGTGGTGTGGTGTGGTGTGGTGTGGTCTGCTTTGAAGGCTGGCTCAAAGCAGAAGCGAACGAGAAGGGGGGAAGCGTCACTCACAGCAGCAGTTTGCTGGAGCGGTGCGCGGAGGGGCAGGGCGAGGCGGTGGTTTCCACCAGCAGGTCCTCCACGTCACGTTGGTACCTCGGGAGCTCCGCCGCTGTTGGGCCGAACAGAGGGCTCTCGCTGCCCTTCCTGGTGTTGGGGGAAGGGTGAGGGGAAGAGAATAGGAATTCTTTGTACTGGTGGTGGTTTCCAGCAGGTCCTCCGCGTCGCGCTGATACCTCGGGAGCTCCGCCGCTGTTGGGCCGAACAGAGGACTCTCACTGCCCTTCCTGATGGGGGAAGGGGTGGATCAAAAGGGTGGGGGACGAGGACGAAAGGAGTTGCTCGGGTGATGGGAGGTGGTTTCCACCAGCAGGTCCTCCGCGTCGCGCTGATACCGAGGGAGCTCCGCTGCTGTTGGGCCGAACAGAGGGCTCTCGCTGCCCTTTCTGGTGTGAGGAAGGGTGGGGGAAGGGGGTGGAGCCTGGAGGTGAGAGGGAGAGAGGAACCAACAGTCGCTTGCCAACAGTTGTTCGCAATCAGTTGCAATCGTCAGGCACAAGAAGCAATATACGTAAGTAATAAATCGCGTACCATCTTTGCTGCGTAGCGTCTCGATAAAGGGCCATCTGATATCTAAAATAGCAGTGCTTTAAGGATCTAGGATTCCGGTCGACGAGCGATGCCTGTTGCAATTCAGTTTCCGACTTCGAGTCGAAGAAAAGAAGCTTCTAAGTGACAGCAAAAGTTGGAACAGAGATTAAGGCTAGAAATCCCAGGCAGTGCCTGCCTAATCGGTGACCAATACTGGCACGGATTACACACGGCTTAGCCAATCAGACGGCGGTTTGAGTACCAGGAGAGGAGATCGTCCTAGTAGGCTTGAGTGTCAAGCCGTCGAGAAAAATCCGCTTGCTAAAGACCACGAGCCCTAACGAATTGGGATGCTCAACAGCCTCAAAGCATGATCTGTTTGGCTTCACAGGAAAGAAACGACTCCCGACCTAAAACATCAACTAATCGTTGCTGGACGTCGATATTCAGGGGGATGATATAGATTCTAGAATCTAGACTCCTCGCCCTCTCGAGGAACCGTCGAATTGGCGAAATCGAGGGAATACCAGCCAATCAGCCTACCCTCGTGAAAGTGACTTGCGACGAGCAACTCAATGTATCAGCCAGTATTCAACTAATTGAAATGTTGGTCGGGGTGTGAAAAGGTTCCTTCTCCAACCCTTGAAAAAAGAATTGCAGAAAGCACTTGGTTGCGCAATATTGTGTGTGTTGATGAAAAATACACTGCCATCTCGTACATAAGTGCATTACTTAGGAAATCACTCCACCCTCCTTGTGCAGTCTGGTTCACAAATTCTACCCTAGGCCAAAAAGCTCAACACGTGATGAACGCATCTGACGGTACCTAGGAAAAACTATAGCAGCTTAGTATTCTGTCCCGATCTCCAACTCCCACATTATCTTCTCCCCGCCTCTCCCCCACCCGCCACCTCGCTCCCACCTTGCGCTTCATTTTCAGTGTTTCGTTCCATTTCTGACCGACACTGCCATACCTCTACACAAGTGACGAAATGAGGGCTCACAGGGAAGCGATCTCGGCGGCATCGCGTGTCGCGTCCTCTCTGGTTCGTAGCCACGTCAGCATCCGCTTGCTCACACCTTCGCACCGTCGCACCGATTGGACTTCTCCTCCCTCCCGCAACTCCCTCTAGTACTCCCCCGCCCCCCGTTCCTCCCGCGTCTCCCTCAACCCTCGCAGGCGCGGTTCGCGGTTCAGCCCTCCCCCGATGCTGTCGCTGCCACCGCCGCATGTGTGCGGCAATCCGCGCAAAGCGCCGCCTCCCCCGCCTCCGCGTCCGCCTTCCGCCTCTCGTTTGCGCGCGGTGTGCGCACTCGCCCGAAATTGCGCGTCGTACTGACAACGGTAAGTTCTGCTCAGAGCGGTAAGATTGAAACACGTTGAGTTCTCAACGTCTTCCCAGGGCGGTGAGATGGAGAATCGTTGAGTCCTCAAAGCCTTCACAGGGCGGTAAGATCGGCACAAGGTTGGCCTCCCCGTGTTTCCCCACCACCGTTCATCCCCCTTCCTCTGTTCCCCCTTCGCGTTTTCCCCCCTGCACATCAGGGGGTGGAAGGACTGGGATATGCGGGGGACGTGGTGAACGTGCCAGCTGGCTTCACGCGCAGCAAGCTCATCCAACGGAAGGCCGTCCTCCCACCATCCCCCAAACCCAGTAACCCCCCTCCACCATTCCCCTGCCGCGTACCTTTCTCAGGAGGTGGAAGGGCTCGGATACGCGGGCGATCAAGTGAACGTGCCAGCCCGCTTCGCCCGCAACAAGCTGATTCCCCACAAGGCCACTCTCCCCCTTTCCCCTATCCGCCCTCCGCGCATCATCAGGAGGTGGAAGGGCTCGGATACGCGGGCGATCAAGTGAACGTGCCAGCCCGCTTCGCCCGCAACAAGCTGATTCCCCACAAGGCCACTCTCCCCCTTTCCCCTATCCGCCCTCCGCGCATCATCAGGAGGTGGAAGGGCTCGGATACGCGGGCGATCAAGTGAACGTGCCAGCCCGCTTCGCCCGCAACAAGCTGATTCCCCTCAAGGCCACTCTCCCCCTTTCCCCTATCCGCCCTCCGCGCATCATCAGGAGGTGGAAGGGCTCGGATACGCGGGCGATCAAGTGAACGTGCCAGCTGGCTTCGCGCGCAACAAGCTCATCCCCCAGAAGGCCGCCCTGCCCTTTCCCCGCTTACCCCCTTTCCCCCTCTTCCGCTTCCGTCTCCCCTGTTATTCAGGAGGTGGAAGGGCTCGGATACGCGGGCGATCAAGTGAACGTGCCAGCTGGCTTCGCCCGCAACAAGCTCATCCCCCAGAAGGCCGCCCTGCCCGCCATCCCCAAGTTCCTGCGCCAGGTGCGCCTGGCCATGGAGGCGCAGGGGGGGGCGGGGGGACAGGCGCAGGGGGGGGCGCGGGGGGAGGCGCAGGTGGAGGCGCGAGGGGAGGCGCGGGGGGAGGCGGGGGTGAAAGCGGAGGGGGATGGGGGGAGAGGGGGCGAGGAGGGGAGTGAGGTGGTTACGATGGAAGAGAGGGTGAAGCAGGCGGAGGAGATTGCAAGACGACTCGACAGCCAACAACTGGTCAGTTAACCCTCCCCCACTCCGCTCCTGTCCGCTCTCTTCTTTCTCTCCTCTCCTTCTCTCGTCTCTCCTCACTTCCCACTGTCTCCTTTGTCTCCTCTCTCTTCCCTCTGATGGTCAGCAGTGAACGTTTTTCATAACCATCTTCGTATCAGCCAACTTATCCTTGGGTCTTATCTGTTTGCTTGCACCCTTGGGTTGCAGCTCTCATTCCCTTGCCCGTCATTCTCTCATCTAGGATCCTCTCACCTTCCATTCTCCCGCCTCCCTTTCTGTCCCCTCACACTGTCTTTCCTCTCGCTCTCTCCCCTCTCACTCCCTTCCCTCTCACTCGCTTCCCCAACCTCCCCTCGCAGTCGATCCGAGCCGTCACACCCAAGAGATCCTCCGAGCTGCGGCAACCAATCACGCAGCGCCACATCATCAGCGAGGTTCGGCGACAGTTCGGCATCCAGCTATCCGAGGCAAACGTACCTCTGTCCGCACCTCTCTCCTCCATCGGGGATTTTGAAGTGCCGCTGAGGTTCCCGCGCTCTGTTCCGCTGCCGGGGGAGAGAGAGCAGGTTCAGCTGGATGTGCGTGTCAGGAGGCGTTGATTGATTGCCTGTGAATGTTAGGAGATGCTGACTGAGAGATGGCGGATGTGCTTCCGTCCGCTCCGCACCTCTCTCGTCCATCGGGGATTTCGAAGTGCCGCTGAGGTTCCCGCGCTCTGTTCCACTGCTGGGGGAGAGAGCACGTTCAGCTGGATGTGCGTGTGAGGAGATGTTGATTGGTTGATGGCGGGTGTCAGGAGACGGGGTGACTGACCGCGTGGATGTACGGACTAGGGCAACTGAATCGAAAGCAGGTTCAGCTGCACGTGCATGTAAGGAGAAGTTTATTGGTTGACAGCAAGCGTCAGGAGAAGGGGATAAGGGGGTTCCCTCACTCTGTTCTGCTGCCCGGGGGGGGGAGAGAGCAGGTTCAGCTGGACGTGCGTGTCGGGAGATGTTGATTGGTTGACAGCAGATGTCAGGAGAAGGGGATAAGGGGGTTCCCTCGGCCTGTTCCGCTGACGGGGGAGAGAGAGCAGGTTCAGCTGGACTGGTTGATGGCAGATGTCAGGTTAGGGGAGCAACTGTAGTTTTGAGGCGCCTGAAAACTAGATGCCAGGAGAAGGGGATAAGGGGGTTCCCTTGCCCTGTTCTGGGGGAGAGAGAGCAGGTTCAGCTGGTCTGGTTGATGGCAGATGTCAGATTAGGGGAGCAACTGTTCCGAAGTGTTTCTCATGTGGTTTCAGTATTGTCCTCACAGTAGGCATAAAGGAGTGAAAGAGATCGATGCTATATTAAATTGATATAACAGCATCTATAGCATTTTCTGACATGGTAGCGTACTAAGCTAGCTGCCTAGATTGGCACCAAGAGTGTACTGCCTGCTTTGGGTGGCAGTCAAACCAGATTCGAGCAGCACAAGTATTGAGATGAGGGAAGGCCTTGACAGAAACACTGTGGTATCAGTCAGAGAGATGATGGCCTCACACAGAGTGGCATGTACCATGTCGTTTCCGCCATCTCCAGTTGACTAGGGTACTCAAAATCTTCTGAAAGCGTCGAATCCTAGGTACTTCTCTGCTTGTTTAACACTTCTATCCCCGTTTACTCCACCCCTCCATCCACGTGGAAGCCTTCTAGTGGTCGCCAGTCCAGCAATTTCAGCACCTGAATCTCCATCCCCACCAGCGAATCCGCCGTGATTCTCGCTACAGCCGCGAGTTGGCTTGCTCGCGGCACCGCGTCTTGGCTCTCCTGCCCCTTAATCGCCACCCACAGACACGTGGCAAGCACCACCCGGAGCGCGTCCGCTGCCACGTCAGTCGGCCGAAGCTTCCGCAAGATTCGCTGGAGCATGTGGAAGGCCAACGCTTCCGCGCTGCTAGAAGCGAGATGGAGCCGCGTGCACCATGAATGAAGCACCCGTTTCAGTCGAGCTGCAGCAGTTTGGCCGAGAGCGGGGCCGTCTGACGTGGGAGCTGGTTGCAGCTGACGTAACTGCGACGTCTGCTGCTGCTGCTGCAATTCAGGCAGCAACCTTTTACGGTCGACTCGCAGAGATGTTGCGTTAGTATCAGCCCCTGCTGTAGCTGCCCCGTGTACGTTCACATTCGCGGCTTCAGCGGCTTCGCCGCGCGTAACCCAACACTCAAATTTGTTATCCGTCCGTCTACGTTTAAGTGACGGTTCTTGGGCCGCGTCAGCCGCACGTGGCGCCTCTGACGTTCCGTTTCCTCGAAACCCCGCGACTTCTGGGATCTGTGGAAAGAGCTGCAGAACCGTTGCACCTTCCTGTTTCAACGGCTCAGATTGAGTTTCCGGCTGATGCTGTGGATGCGGACGGCTCTGATGCTGCTGACTGGCGATATGGTTCACGGGCTGATGGAGAATGGTTGACCGCTGCAACTGCGAAAGTTGCTCGCGAAACACCGACTGCATGTCGTGACTGATACCACCGGCAACACCCAGAGGTTCGCACCACTCCGTGGTCACTCCACTCGCGGGGGACGCGCCGTCAGGCCCGCCGCTGTCCCCGCTGCAGTGTGATCCGATACGATGCATCCCGAGACCAAGATGGCTATTGTATTCGAGAGAATCCCGAGCGACTACACTCCATCCTCGACCACCGTCGACCAGCTCGGCAGGACAGAATCCAGCATGGCAAACGTCGAGGAAACGCGCACCCGCCACGTGGCTAAGCGACACGTCAGCTGCTGCAGATCCCACCGTCACGTGGGTTGGGAGACCAGCAACGGCAAATCCCGAGGAACGACAGCCATGGCATAAAACTAAGGGGAGCGTGAGAGCGGTAGGAAATCCGAGGAACTGCACATGCGTGGGTTGGTTGCAGGAGCAGCAGAGAAGCGCGCGCGGGTGTTTTATGACGAGAGCGTTCGCCACGTGGACCGCTTGGTCGCACGTGACGCACAGGTTTGCGCCGTCCGCGGCGCAATGCACGGCGGCGGGGGAGGGGCAGAGGGCGCAAGGGATTGAAGTGAAGAGGAGCGGTAGCGGCGGCATCGCGTGCGACTGGGGAGGGTAATCTGAGAGAACCTGAGCTGTGAACCACTGCGCACTATGTACATCAATGGCTTAGCTCGCTATCTCAGCTGTTTAGAGTCGCGAGGTTGATTCACAAACTAGTAAGTGAGAGCGAAACGGGTCGAGAGGAAGACCACATGGGTTAGTACTCTCAATAAAGACTTCCTGGAAATGTAAGGTAGGTGACGATAGAAGGCGTCTTCGTCGACGAGGCGTGAAGGTCTTTGTGAAACAATAAGGTAGGTAATCGACTAAACTGAATCTGCTTTGGAAAGACGGCTCGTCCGAGAATTGACTTGTGGTGGCAAATGTCATGCATCGACGACCACAGAGCAACAACCTGTATGGAGAAACTGTTCATTACGGTTCGTGGATTCGAAGTTCTAAGCGCACTACTAGAAGCATTACTGGCTGTCAATATCTCCACCTGATGCCCGTTAGAGTTCCCCATACTTGGGTCTTCCTCTGGGCTGATAAGTGATTTTGGCATTTCGCCCAGTTCGTCAGGTTTCGCTTAGACTGCCAGGTGCTTTTATCTAACACTGGTTGTATCACATTTGTTTTATTCCGCACAGTGCAGGGCGGACTTACTTGTTGTTTGTTGGTGGACCTGGTTACCACTGCAATTTCATTAAAACAATGCACCCCATTACAAGACATCACCCATCTCATCACAAACAACATCTCTCCCCCACACAGCACACGAAGCAGCCCAACCCCGCCAATTAAGAAGCCCCACCTGTCTCCCATGCAATGTTAACATGGATTGCACCAAGCTGATGTCAATGTGCACGAGTCTTGCACATTTACAGCACCGAAACGAAATCAACACAAGGGGGTATCAACACCCCTCACAGCCTCATCCACTCAGCCGCATCCAGGAACCCGCCCATCACGGCGGGCGCCCCTGCTTCAATGAGATCCTGGCGGCGAGCCGCCTACTGAGCCAGGATGACCCAACGCGGGATCGGCGCCGTCATCCACGCCGGCAACACACGCCCACGGCGGCGAGGGGTCTCCGCCGGCGGGGTGGAGCCGACGGGCGTGGCGGGAGGTGGGGTCTGGTTCAGATTGAGCGGCGGACTTGCGCGCTCCATCCGGGCCCTGATGATGGGGTTGCGGATGTCGAACAGCACGCAGAGGTCACGCGGGGTGATGCCAGTCGCCTTCGCGTAGCCGATGAGCATTTCGCTCGCGGCGCGCGCGTAGCGCCGTGCTTCACGGCACGCCGGATTGGCGTCGTCATAGACGGCCTGCATACTGGCGGGAGCCTCCCACATCTCTGGCGCCGGCACATTCGGCGGCTCCATCGCGAGCGGGTCCTCGCCCGGCTCGGCGCAACTCGGCTGATTGTCGTCGACGCGCACGAACTCCGCGGCCGGCATCGCCGAAGGCCCAAGGCCAAGGCGGTTGATGAGGATCCCCACATCGCCCACTGCCTCGTCGAGCTCAGTAGGACCGCCGTTGCCGCCGGCGGCGCCGTTGCCGCCTGCGCCGCCGTTGCCACCGTTGCGGACGTGCTCAAGCTGCATCTCCCACGCACGCGGCAGGCACTCGGTGCACCACCAGCAGCGCTGAATCGTGCGACGCTTGATGTTCATCCAAGCGTCGAGCAGCCAGGCCAGGACGTTGCAGAGGTTCGCCGTGTACCTCGCCATCGCAGACGTGGCGCCGTTCTGGGCCCACTGCGCAGTGAAGGCGCTGAGCCAATGCGCGCGGTACCGCGCCTTCGCCGTCGCAATGATCCCCTGATCGAGGGGCTGGGTGAAACATGTAGTGTTAGGTGGCAGGTACAAGATGCGGAGGTTGTTGAGCTTGCGCGTGCGGAATCCGAACAGGTCCTCCGTCTCGGCCCCTTCAGACTTGAGGACGTGGCTGCTAGCATTGTCCATGAGGATGACAATGCTCCTCTCCTCGGCGTACATGGCGGCATTTAGTTGCTCCATGAAGTGAGTGAAGACCTGCAAAAAATCGCATGGGAAAATGATGCGTAAGGATCATGTGAAAGGTAAACATGAGTGACAACACTCACGGCAAAACAGGAAACCGATTCAATGGGCGTGACGAATAAACGTATTTGGCAAAGCCTTACCTCGGTCGTCATCCATCCCTTCGCCGAAGTGCGCCAGTAGCACACCTCGTCAGGGTTATAGTCGGGGCGGAAGTCGTGGGGCCTCTTGGCCTTTGAGATGACCAAGGGGCGGAACGAATGAGAACCGTCGGCGTTGATGAGGAGGCCGACGGTAAGACGGTTCTTTGGGATCTTCCGTTCGGCCCGCGCCGATTGCCGTAAGTCTTCCGGGGCAGCACAGAGATGTTAAGTGCAGTTTCGTCGAAGTTGTACGTATCCCTGGCGGATATCGAGAGATGCATCAGCAGCTGCGGAAGCTTCTCACGAGTCGTGCGCACTGCGGCCATGTCCTGGTCCGCCGCCTCTCCCACGGCGCTCAGGCAGCGGACGCCCTGGCGACGCAACGCACGGCGTACCCAGCCGATGGAGCACCGAAATTCCGCCGGAACACCATCTATGTCGTGGGCCATGTTCGCAACGTGATCGCGGATGGTAACGAGCGTGAGGGGAACCTCGGCCGGCCCCGCATTGGCAATCCAAGCGGCCATTGCGCGCTCAAGTGCGGGGTGTGCGCCGCCCCGCACACAGACAATGTTGTTGTCCGTCGCCATTGCAACCCATCGTTCCGCGCCTTTCAGAACGCGCCCGATCGTCGACCGGTCGGGCCTAATGCCGAAGCGGGTAAAACACCAGCGCGCAAGGTCGACGTGGCGCAGCTGGGGGTTTGCGACATGGTGGGCACAGATAGCCCGCTTGATATGTACGGCGAGCTGTGAACGGTGGTAAAGACGAGGCATGGCTAGATTCAGAGGTGAAGAGCTACTGGTGTCGAGTGAAATTCATCAGCACTTTATGCCCGCAGGTGAGCTGTGGTCACCAGGGTGCGAGGAGATGGTTTAGCTTTAGGCGAGGATTGCGAAATAGCAAGTGCATGGCATGCATTCACCCGTGAAATTTGGCAGGGGTAGACCCTGTTACCTCAACCACAGGCTGTGACGTGGGCAGGTTGAGCATCGGATGGTTCAGAAAGGGTATGTACCGTGTTGGGGCAAGGTACACATGGAGTGGTGAACCTTGCTCAATTATGTTTGAAGCACCATGAACCCGCCTACGTGGCGACCAGTCAAAGACGAATGTGTTTGCGATCCCTACTGTGTTTCGCTCATAGATTTCGCGCAGTTTGAATCGGGTCAACATTACCAGCGGGAACCATGGTTCACAGGCTTTGTCCTGTGCTACACGTCCCCCATCTGGCTTCTTCCAAACATTTGGCCACTTGTTGAACGGGCTTATAGGTGGGGTGCAACCGGCTGGCAAAAAAACCTCGGGTGCAGAGTTTCTAATAAGTGCAGGGCAGATTCGCGTGCAGTGGTTGGGCATCGTGTGTACCACGACTTCCTTGATGGGCAGGCATTCTGCGGCTCGATTGATTTCTTGGCTGCTCCACCGTTTGGAGTCTCTGTCGCGTCATGAAAAAAACGTGTTGTAAGGGCGCGTGTCCTTGAGGTCGAACTTTTGCCAAAGTTCGAACTTCTAGAAAGGTTGTGCACGGTATGAAACAGTTGAGAAACGGATCGCACGGTACAGAGCGGTATTAGGCTCGAACTTTGACAATCTACACCGAAAGACACGCGCCCTAAAATGATCCGTCTACGCGAATTACTGCGAGAAAGTGGTTTCTGTTCGAAGTTGGGGCAAGAAATGTCTATGCTTAAAAAATTAGAAGTTAGAACCCCAAGATACGTGCAAACGCTGCTCGGCTCGAGGGTCGCGCCGCAGGAATGTTCTTTCCCGCTTGTGGTTTCTGTTGCTCCTTGAACAAGCTGATTGCGTCCTGCTCGATCAGGCGCGCACCAAGTGAAGCTCGACACGTGTAATGCAATCATCAGGCAAGTGATCGTGGTCAGGCGACCGGTGGGCGGAGCAGAACGAACAAATGGCGGCAAATGGATGCGGGATACGAGTTGACGGGTGGTTGGCAGCTTCAGGAAGGCTGACCGAGAAACCTGGGAGGCGCGTCCGACGAGAGATGTTCTCGTCTGAGAATCAAGTGTGTGGTATGGATAGTGTGTGTGGTTGGTGCTGCTCCGAATTATTTGTTCGTGGAGAACACGTCATCCAAGTGTAAATGTACACGTGTAATATTTGCAAATGGAAGCATTGCTATCCATCCTGTGGTTACCCATTATCCAAGCCCAGTGATGTCGCTACAATCGACGGCATACAGCAAGTTTGAACAAGCTGTAGATCGGGTGTTGTTGTGATTTTCCCTGACCCCCTTGACCCAGGATGCCCCGCCACCATTCATTCGTCCAGCGTAGATTTCTTTTTTGGCCCCATCCTGTTTGGATTTCCTTCAGCCGCATCTTGCACGCCTCGGCTGCTTTGAGAAGAATCAGTTCACACGGCGCCATTCCTACCCTGACCCGACCACCCTGCTTTCTGTCCCTTCGACCGTGCCGTGAATGCAATGCTGGCTTTCACTTGCTTGGGAGCATGCCGACACCTCATCAGTGGCCCCTGAACGGTGGCAGGTGACGTGGCTGGGGGAAATTGTGGTGACGTCACCTCTGCTTGTGGTTGAGATGACGAAACCTGATATGCGCAACTTGTCGCTAAAGCAAGCTGCGGTTAAAAAATTGGCGCAGGAGGCGTTCATCCCCGTATAACTAACCATAAACTGCATATCACTATGTTAATAAGCTAATTATTCCCTGCCCCATAAGCTTCATTGGCCAGAATTCCGCATCTTATTACATATCCAGCGAGGTGATTGTATACACATATACATACACACATATATATATACATACATACATTCATACATACATACATACATACATACATACATACATACATACATACATACATACATACATACATACATACATACATACATACATACATACATACATACATACATACATACATACATACATACATACATACATAAATACATACATACATACATACATACATACATACATACATACATACATACATACATACATACATACATACATACATACATACATACATACATACATACATACATACATACATACATACATACATACATACATACATACATACATACATACATACATACATACATACATACATACATACATACATACATACATACATACATACATACATACATACATACATACATACATACATACATACATACATACATACATACATACATACATACATACATACATACATACATACATACATACATACATACATACATACATACATACATACATACATACATACATACATACATACATACATACATACATACATACATACATACATACATACATACATACATACATACATACATACATACATACATACATACATACATACATACATACATACATACATACATACATACATACATACATACATACATACATACATACATACATACATACATACATACATACATACATACATACATACATACATACATACTACAATACATACATACATACATACATACATACATACATACATACATACATACATACATACATACATCATACATACATACATACATACATACATACATACATACATACATACATACATACATACATCATACATACATACATACATACATACATACATACATACATACATACATACATACATACATACATACATACATACATACATACATACATACATACATACATACATACATACATACATACATACATACATACATACATACATACATACATACATACATACATACATACATACATACATACATACCATACATACATACATACATACATACATACATACACACACACATACATACATACATACATACATACATACATACATACATACATACATACATACACATCCTGCCCATTTCTTCTTCTTCTCCAAAGATAGCACTTCTGAGCCCTCCAGCCTGAAATGAACAAGTGGCTTAATTGGTTAGAAGGCTGTTTGAGTGAGAAAAGCTGATAGCCCTGAAAGGCACTGCCCAACTGCACTGCTCACGGCCATGCATTATGTTTTAGGGTGTCATCGCATGGTGCTTGCCCAAATCATGTACTCGGTACATGTACTCATCACATTCATTCTTCATAGACAAATAACAACACAGTATTGCTTGCATGGAAATCCCCTGTTAGGGAACTGTCTGACTTACGGAATAAACTTACAGTAGGCTTCTAGTTTAAACATGGTGCGTATTGCGTTTCCACACTAAATATCTTCCATGATCTTCTTCATTTGCTCTAGAGTCACAAATAGGATGAGCGAGAAGGGGCCTTGCCTGACAATGGTTGGAATAAGGCCCTGAAAGAGATAGCACATTCAAGCAGTTCAGAGGGCGAAGGGGGCACAAGCAGCAGGGAATGAGAGCAGACTACAACATTAAAGCCCCAGCAATCTCAAAAGGCACCCGCCCTGAATCACATGCAATCAGGAATGGCACCATCATCCATCCCTGGAAGGGCATCCCAGCAATGACATGGTATCAGCAGCGCAGCTTGCACCGAAAACCAAACATAAACACTGCGCGTGGCCCTTCCACCTTGATGGTTGGCATCGCGCGATCCAAGGGAAGCGAGTGCGGTACCGCCTCGCTGTCTTCCGGCTTGCAGCACTGTACTCGTGCCTTCAATTCCCGCTATTGCACCACCATCAACAGCGCACCCTATGTAATGCGAGTGGCCCTTTTATTTATTAGTCTTCATGGCGCAATCCACGGGGCTCGAGTGCCGGCCCGCCTCCCTCTGGCTTGCTCATGTTCACGAGGCGAGTCCTCACCACGTCAAAGGGGCTCTTGAGGCGAGCTTTGCACCACCCACACACCTTGCATCAGGAACCCACCTTATACAATGCGAGCGGCCCTTCCAGCTTGATTGTCTTCATGGCGCAATCCAGATGGCTCGAGTAGGGTGCCGGCTCGCCTCCCTCTGGCTTGCGCATGTTCATGAGGCGCGTCTGCACCACGTCAAAGTGGTTTGAGGCGAGTGATGCACCAGCCACACAACAGCCGCACAACAACCCACCTTATACAGTGCAAGCGGCCCCTCGAGTTTGATTGTCTTCATGGCGCAGTCAAGCGGGCTTGAGTAAGGTGCCGGCCCGCCTCCCTCTGGCTTGCGCATGTTCATGAGGCGCGTCTTCACCACGTCAAAGGGGTTTGAGGCGAGGGAAGCGAAGATGGCGGCTGTGAATGCCGCAACTGTGTGCGCGCCCAGGCCCTCTTTCATGTAGCCTCCCGCTATCAGGCTCTCCTTGGCTTGATCGTACGTTGCAAGCTGGAGAGACGGAGGGGAGGGGCAGAGGGAGGAGATGTAAAGATGGCTGCTGTGAATGCTGCCACTGTGTGTGCACCAAGGCCCTCTTTCATGTAACCGCCCACGATAAGGCTCTCCTTGGCTTGATCGTACGTTGCAAGCTGATGAGGGTGGAAAGGAGGGAGAGTGTGACTTTGGACTCGAGAAACAAGAGTGAAGGAAGACGGAGCAGGTGCGAAATGGAGCCCTTGAGTGAACAAGAGACAAGAGTCAACGGGAGTCAACGCACCTGGCCAGCAGTGACAGCCATGGCGCGGTACACGGTGGGTCCACACCCCCGCCACAGCGCTGCAGCGCCCTCCTCCCGGCGGATGCGCGCAATGGCGTCCAGCGCTCCCTTGTAGTTGCGCCTCTGCTCTAATGGCAGTCGGCCGTCCGCCTGGAGGTAGAACGGAAGAGAGAGGAAGAGGGAAGAGGAAGCATCGTGGGATTGTGACACTCCTGCAGCTCTC